ATGAGGAGGAAGTTAACCCTCGTATTGGGAGGGGAGCCATTTCCCCTGTTCCTTTTCCCAACTTAGAAGTTGTTTCCAACGAGGGTGCGCAATCACCGAATGGAGTCCTCAATGAGGAGTTCGAGCTGGATGCCGGATACGAGGGGGATTTCGACGATGACGACGACTGGATGGCGTACGATCCCCCAAATGAGGTCATTATCATCTCTTCCGACGAGTCAGGTGAGGATAGCGGGGACCGTGGTTCAGTTGTCGACGACGACTAATGTGAGACCCATGGAATGTAGTGAATAAGTACTGTATAGTAAGGTATTTTGTAGGGATGACTTTAGTTAAGACAATACCAAAAAGTCCACGTGAACATGTCCCTAAGATGCAATTCGTGTCATGTTTTTTGCATTTTCCAGTTGAATTGTCGAGAATTACTGAGACTATCTGTCGTGTACGACATGTCAACTGTCGGGCAGTAAGGATAATATGTACAAAAATGGTTATGTATTTTGCAGTATGTAAAACGGCTATTGTGAAAGGTGTGTATCATGGACTAACTTTAATCCATGATTTACGATGACGCAAATGATTGTACATTTCTTCGGGAATCAAGATTGCATTTTGCACTACCTTTAATTTTGATTTAAGATGATGCTAATGATAGTAAATCTGTAGGAGGATAGAAGATTGCGTTTCGAAATGGAAAAAATATATATGTACAGTATCCAACATTTTCCGTTCTCGTGTTTAGAGGTCACGACATGTATGTGTGACGCAGATCGTGAGTGCAGTGCAAGGTTCCGTCAACTGTCGAGAATAAGTAACACATCTATCGGGACCGACATTTGAACTGGGCGAGATGTTTACTACGTGCTGGACAGAGAGTGAAATTTTTATGTGCACAACAGGATGCACAACATGCAAGAACATTAATGATCACAAACTGTAAATCATAACTTCATAATGTTCGATGTAGTACGGAATAATTAACATACAATGTCTATTAACCTGCAAATCTTTAAGGAGCATGTGATACACGGGGGTTTGAACACGTGGTCCAACTCTACCACAGCGGGTACATTTTTTGGTAGACCATGCATACTCATACCTAGAATGCTTACGGCGGGTTGGTGGTCTACCTGGAGGACGACGTACGAGTGGTGGGAAAATAGGAGTACATGTAATTAAGCTCGAAACAACCCAATCCACTTCTCTCGGAACAGGATATATAGTTTCGCTGTAGGCATCCTTCCAGTAGTCCAATGAATAATAACGGGAGAAAAGCTCGTACAACGTCTTCCCTCTAAAGCAAGCAGCACGACTTGCATGAACACATGGCATACTGTTTAGTTGGAACTCACGACATGTGCAAGTTTCTCTGGACAAGTCAACTATGTCCGTGTCGTTGGATATTCCAACCTGCGTCAACTTGTTTGTCAGGACATGGGCTCGAAGCCTAGTTCCATTTTCGAAAGTCTTCCGTAGCTCGTTCTCCATCCTTGGTGTCAATAAAGTACTGCATTCTTCCGCATTTGCTCGACGTTTGTAAAACCACTTCTGCATAGTACTCCGAATGTGTTCAACCAAGCAGGTTATCGGTAACGACCGGGCTTCTCTCAACATCGAGTTCAACGACTCTGCATTGTTGTTTGTCATAATATTGTAACGGTGTCCAATAAATAATGCTCTGGACCAAAATGAATATCCCGCTCACTCTAAGTACCCGTGCGCTCTTTCGCTCACTCTACGAATCTGTCCTATGAGTCGTTCAAAGTCCTCGACCCAAAAAGTTGTAGCAACTCGTTTGAATAGAAATAATAGGCTTAAGTTGTTATACCGCTGTATTAGGTTCTTTTCCATATGCCATATACAAAAACCATGCCGAGACGACGAAAACAACTGAGAAATAGCTTTCTGAATACTCTTTTTCCTATCTGAAACGAACACGAGTTCTTCGGAATCCCCTATAAGGTCTTTCAAGTTCCACAAAAATCACTTCCACGATTTATTGGTTTCAGCATCCACGATCCCCCATGCCAACGGATAAATCTGTTTGTTACCATCTTGGGCAGTTGCCACTAGGAGTGTACCTTTGTATGGACCTTTCAAGTGACTGCCATCAACACAAATAATGGGTCACAAGTACTACATGTATCCACGAATGCTTGCACCAAAAGTTACGAAGAAGTAACGAAACCTATTACAAGAATCAACTTCNTAGCAACCGACGAACAGATAGGTACGTTGTCATGTGCTACGATTTTTCCCTACTATATTCGATGTCATCTACTTCCGTTCTGAATTCATGAAAATGCAATAACATATTCATGTGGTGTGATTGTGGTCTCCAATTAGGTGGAGAACAGATGGAGCCGATATTTGCCGTCCCGAATTTGAACGGTAACATGGGAATTATTTTTCTCATTTTCTTTCTTCCTGTACGCTTCCATTATCTTCCAACTGCAAACGTCGAACACATATGCAGTTACAAATGTGTTGTAATGTCAGATGGAAGAGCCATGGAGCCCTCACATGCGGCCCCGAACAACGATGCCGACTTACAGGGTTGCGATGTTACGGATGGTGATGGTAAGTTCATTCTCTGCATCACTTATTGTATGTTACGTATGCTACATGAAGGGCATTTATGGTCACTAACTCCCCCCTCCTTTTGAATTCTCGTAGGCGATCTCGCTGAAGTCCCTGTTCCCGCCAGTGTAGCCGAACCAGGACACGGAGTTCATACGATGAGTCGGCGCTCGGCACGGGTGCGACGTCCAGCTCCTGCGGCCAGGACTCCATATACAAGGGCGGCGAAGCAAATGAAGAAGTAAAAGGGGTGTGAACTGTGGGGACAGCACGACGGTGGTGTTGTAGTTGGTAATACCCTGTCAGCGATTTGGTGAAGGTGGTGACGGATGTTAACATGTTGGATAAATAACTTTTGTTTGAATTCGTTTTACATTACATTTTCATTACTCTTGCGTATCGTGGTGATACGTGGACAGATTCCTCATATTTTATTTTGTTTGGCTGATCGGTAGTTGTAGTGTTTATGAATTGTGTCTGCTATTTTACCTTTGTTGATTCTATCAATCAGGTTCGTTTTGTTGTTTGGTATATATTTTTGTTGGACATATTGTGTGCGCTTATTTTCTCTTGGAGGAGGCGAACATGCGTAGGCAACATGTCAATTTCCCGAAATACTTTGTAACTACTGTTTTCTTGATATTGTTGATATTCGATCCAATCTTATTATAGATGTAGTAATATACTTCGAGTTTTTAAGATTTTCTAATTTGTGTTACGCTTCTTACACCGGTGTTGGTTACGTTAAATAGGGAATGTTATATTTCATAAATTTATGTAGTGGTATCTAGTCTTCACTATAGCTTTAATCGGGAACGATATTATTATGATAAATTCTCAAACTAAGGCATTAAGGCACATACATGAGATGCAACGAGAAGATGAGTCGTTACAACTGTCAAGAGCATGAGAACCACGGTAAAAAGTAATTCATAAATCAATGAAATTAGTAAAAATAATTATTTCGTTGTTCGTCTTCCATGTGTCTTGCGATGATGACCCGTACGTGTGAGGAACTATACCATTACAACCATGGCAACTTAAAAGTAGCAATTAGATTGAGCAGGTTTTTGTTGCAGATATGCACATTTCCTTAATTGTGCACATGATTAAAGAGTGTTTAACATTGTACTAAGTATGGGGAAATGGGGGATAAAGGTACACTTCATTTATTCAACCATCACACCAATTGCATTTCAAATTTACTAGGAGAATTGACTTGGTGGTTGGGTAGATGGAGACCATAATTGTTTCCCCTTCAATTTGCTTATAAAAAGTGTGGGACTTCATTCTCACTTACAAACAAGTTCCTTCAAGACCATTGTCACCCATTCACCTTCTCACAGACACTTATCATTCCTTTAGTACTACTATACGTTCACGTAATGAGTTCTTCCACAGGAAGCAACGAACCGTTGAACATGAACGAGGCACTGCCAGTTCTTGGTTCATCTCCGCTTTTTCCAATTTATATTTCGTCAGATGAGGAGGAAGTTAACCCTCGTATTGGGAGGGGAGCCATTTCCCCTGTTCGTTTTCCCAACTTAGAAGTTGTTTCCAACGAGGGTGCGCAATCACCGAATGGAGTCCTCAATGAGGAGTTCGAGCTGGATGCCGGATACGAGGGGGATTCCGACGATGACGACGACTGGATGGCGTACGATCCCCCAAATGAGGTCATTATCATCTCTTCCGACGAGTCAGGTGAGGATAGCGGGGACCGTGGTTTAGTTGTCGACGACGACTAATGTGAGACCCATGGAATGTAGCGAATAAGTACTGTATAGTAAGATATTTTGTAGGGATGACCTTAGTTAAGACAATACCAAAAAGTCCACGTGAACATGTTTCTAAGATGCAATTCGTGTCATGTTTTTTGCGTTTTCCGGTCGAACTGTCGAGAATTACTGAGACTATCTGTCGGGGACGACATGTCAACTGTCGGGCAGTATCAATAAAATGTACAAAAATGGTTATGTATTTTGCAGTATGTAAAACAGATCTTGTGAAAGGTGTGTATCATGGACTAACTTTAATCCATGATTTACGATGACGCAAATGATTGTACATTTCTTCGGGATTCAAGATTGCGTTTTGCACTACCTTTAATTTCGATTTAAGATGATGCTAATGATAGTAAATCTGTAGGGGATAGAAGATTGCGTTTCAAAATGGGAAAAAATATATATGTACAGTATCAAACATTTTTCGTTCTCGTGTTTAGAGGTCACAACATGTAAATGTGACGCAGACCGTGAGTGCAGTGCAAGGTTTCGTCAACTGTCGAGAATAAGTAACACATCTATCGGGGCCGACATTTGAACTGGGCGGGATGTTTACTACGTGCTGGACAGACAGTGAAATCTTTATGTGCACAACAGGATGCGCAACATGCAAGAACATTAATGATCACAAACTGTAAATCGTAACTTCATAATGTTCGATGTAGTACGGAATAATTAACATACAACGTCTATTAACCTGCAAATCTTTAAGGAGCATGTGATACACGGGGGTTTGAACACGTGGTCCGATTATGACCGACTCTACCACAACGGGTACATTTTCTGGTAGACCATGCATACTCATACCTAGAACGCTTACGGCGGATTGGTGGTCTACCTGGAGGACGACGTACGAGTGGTGGGAAAATAGGAGTACATGTAATTAAGCTCGGAACAACCCAATCCACTTCCCTCGGAACAGGATATATAGTTTCGCTGTAGGCACCCTTCCAGTAGTCCGATGAATAATAACGGGAGCAAAGCTCGTACAACGTCTTCCCTCTAAAGCAAGCAGCACGACTTGCATGAACACATGGCATACAGTTTAGTTGGAACTCACGACATGTGCAGGTTTCTTCGGACAAGTCAACTATGTCCGTGTCGTTGGATTTTCCAACCTGCGTCAAGTTGTTTGTCAGGGCATGGGCTCGAAGCCTAGTTCCATTTTCGAAAGTCGTCCGTAGCTCGTTCTCCATCCTTGGTGTCAATAAGGTACTGCATTCTTCCGCATTTACTCGACGTTCGTAAAACCACTTCTGCATAATACTCCGAATGTGTTCAACCAAGCAGGTTATCGGTAACGACCAGACATCTCTCAACATCGAGTTCAACGACTCTGCATTGTTGTTTGTCATAATATTGTAACGGTGTCCAATAAATAGTGCTCTGGACCAAAATGAATATCCCGCTCGCTCTAAGTACTCGTGCACTCTTTCGCTCACTCTACGAATCTGTCCCATGAGTCGTTCGAAGTCCTCGACCCGAAATGTTGTAGCAGCTCGTTTGAATAGAAATAATAGGCTTGCGTTGTTATACCGCTGTATTAGGTTCTTTTCCATATGCCATATACAACAACCACGCCGAGACGACGGAAACAACTGAGAAATAGCTTTCTGAATACTCTTTTTCCTGTCTGAAACGAACACGAGTTCTTCGGAATCCCCTATAAGGTCTTTCAAGTTCGACAAAAATCACTTCCACGATTTATTGGTTTCAGCATCCACGATCCCCCATACCAACGGATAAATCTGTTTGTTACCATCTTGGGCAGTTGCCACTAGGAGTGTACCTTTATATGGACCTTTCAAGTGACTGCCGTCCACACAAATAACGGGTCTTAAGTACTGCATGTATCCACGAATACTTGCACCAAAAGCTACGAAGAAGTAAGGAAACCTATTACAACAATCAACTTCGATGTGGGTAACGGTCCCCAGGTTACTTTCTCCTACGACGTGACAGTACGAAGATAATTTCTGAAAACTGTCCCTTGGTGTACCATGTAGCATATTTAAGGCATGGAGCTTCCCCCTACGTGCTTTGCTATAACTGATTTTCACACCAAACTCACGTTCCATATCACGTGCAATATGAGTAGGCGGATATGATCGGTATGGAGTATCCAATTTTTCCAAAATGTGCTCCGCAATTACAGCACTAGTGGCATGCCGATGTGCGTTACGACGAAAATCAAGGGAACATGTGTGAACTACAACGAACTTACGGATCATGAAGATTGCAGATTGCTTGACAGTAGAAGCACGTAGCATCCACTTGCAATTATCATCCACACAGACAACTGTTAACATTTTCAAGCTTGACCTGCTTACCCGGAATTGGAACTTCTCTTGCAAAGCAAGTACATGAAGCTTCGAGTACAACTGTTTCTTGGTAAAGAATATTTGCTTCTCGGCGAGAACCGATGTATTTGCAGTTGTAATCCACTCATCTGTGCACGAACGTCTGGAATTTGATGACATTGTCTCATCTATTTCAGCAATAAAAGCACGATCTGCACCATGTAATAGGTTCTCTAAGTGTTCGACGGATGCTGCAGCCTCTATACGCTCAATTGGAGGTTCGGGTCGTTCGGTTTGCGACACACTGTGCTGATGATTCATCTCGTCATGTTGTACATTCGGTGGACATTCCGTTGGGCCGAACAAGCTCCCTTCACAGTTTGCATCTGTTGCCATACCAACAATTGGGAGCTCGGATACCAAATATGTGATGCAGAGTGCAGTTTCCTTATGAACAGATATGTACCACTGTAGATCCTCATCGTCGCGTATCTCTGCCGGAGGTAGAATCAAGTTCGGGACTTTGAATTTCAATTCGATTGCATTGCGGGATTCAACGATACCAAGTTTCTCCTTCAATCGTAACAGAAGTTCCGCTACGGTAATACTTCTCGACACTAAAATGGAAGTGGTTTTGTCCCCTCTCCACTTCCATTCATCATCTGAGTGAATGAAGTTTCCTCCATGTGACACGATGAATCTGAAATCATGACTCATACCTGAAATGTTAGGATTGCAAAAGTGAGAATTCTGCAGATTCATATGTCGACATTTCATAACATCAAATTGGCACACGAAAATACTTACATCCATGTACTACCAAAGATATAAAAGATGATCAGTTTTCAGCTGTCGAAATCGACAATTACATTTTCTATCCCGACAGTCAGTAAATGTCGAGCTCGACAGTTAAAATGTCTAACCCGACAGTTTCCAAGATACCACTCGACAGTTCTACTGCCATAACTTTCGAGAAAGATAAATTCCATGTGCTTCACTGTTTGACGAATTTATTGAAAACGGTAAAGGCCATAATAAATTCTGAACTACAATATCACTGTATCTTTTTAGAAATGAACAAGATATCACTTAATGCTTCATTAAATGTTGAATTATATATGAAATACTTCACATTTTCTATATAATATTGGTATAATTTTTCTTTCTAAAATATACCAAAAATTTACTACATCAATGAATAAGAGATTGAAAGGGTTCATTTAAATATGATCATATTTTATTGAAAAATTAAAGTAGTCAACTATGACATGAGATGAACTTTTTTCTACTACCTTACCTTTCAAATTTGTCAATGGCTTTCCTTGTTGATGATGGAGTGGAGATGATGAAGAAGAAGAAGCTCTTTCAATTCGTGTGTGTGTGTGTATTTTGTAAAGATTTCACCCCTTTTTTAATCAAAAAAATCTTATTATACAATATAATATCATATCTTCAATATTAAATTTAAAGCAAAAATAAATTAATCACATCATAACATTAATTGCATTCAAATCAAGCATTTATTGCTCCAAAAAGGTGTTAAAGGGTAAAGTGGACATTTTGTAGGGAAAAATTGACATTCTTGGAAGAAATTGGTGAATGTCCAAATTTTTTTTGCATTTTCAATTTTAGTGACATTTGTGTAAATTCCCCTATCTTCTATTGCTCACTAAATTTTAAAGTGGTCAAATTTTGGCCATTAAACTTTGATATAGTCAAACTTTGCCACTAAACTTTGAAAAACATATTTTATTTCTCATTATAAATTTAGATTTAATTAATCATTTATTTATCTCTCTTTAAAACAAAACTCTTTAATTTTCATCCTCATTTTTAATCATACATTTATACAATAAAATATTTTAATGTGAACTTCAATTTTTTCAAACTTTTTAATCACACATTCTCCGAAAAATCACCATTTAAAACTCTCTTTTTTAAAAAAATAAAAAATAATGGTCATCAAGTAGAGTGTAAAATTTGTTGTTAAAATTCAAATTTAATTTAATTTTAACAATAAATATATTACGTGTTTTGTTGCAATTAGTAGTCACTTCTTTTGAACAGCTTTCAAGCATTGTCTATACCATTAGTTAAATTTAATTTATTTTTGCAGAATTTTAAACTACCATTATCATAATATTTGAATTTTACAACAAAACACTCAATGAATTTGTTGCTAAATAAAATTAAATCCAAATTTTAACAATGAATTTTAATTAAATCCAAATTTATTGTGAGCAATAGAAGATGTTTTGTAAAACTGTGGAAAGGAAGTAACTACTAATTGCAATGAAATACAAAGTATATTTATTGTTAAAATTAAATTATATTCAAATTTTAGCCCTTGTTTGATGGCCGTTATTTAGAAAATGAGTTTTAATTAGTATTTTTTGGGAAAACGTGTGGTTAGAATGTTGGGAAATTATTTGAATTTATGTGTAAAATATTTTATTGTATTAATGTATAGTTAAAAATGATTATGAAAATTAAAGAATTTTGTTTTAATGGGAGATAAAAAAAAAAAAAAAAAAAAGACTTAACTAAAGTGAAAATTACAAGTAACTAGACTTTTAAACTTCTCACTTCAAAATGAAGATTTACAAGTTTTTTTCCCTAGAAATTAGAAGATAATTAAAATCTTAGCCCTCGTTTGAGCTACATTATTGTAAAAATGAGAATAAAAAATATAGCCGTTATGAACCCCATTTAAGAGATAAAATGTCAAATTTGGTGGCTTGATATGATTGATAACGATCATACTTCTCATTTTAATGAGGAAATAATGGGATTCAAACAGGGCCTTAATAATTTAATTTTTTAAAAAAGAATTAAAATACAATGGAAATCGACTGCAACTCCCAAAAACAGCAAACTCTAAGCCCTTGTTTGATCCCCATTAAATTAAATTACATTACATTCTATTTTTCTCTCTCCTATTTTCAACCACACAATCTTTCATAAAATAATATTACACGTAAATCGAAAACTTTTCATTCTTTTTCAACCACTCATTTTTCTAAAAAATACTATTCCCCCCATTTTCATTTTTAAGTAATGGGCATCAAACATGGGCTAAATCTATCTCTCTTTTACCTTTCTCTCTATTCTATCTACATCCATTTTCCTACCCAACCTTCTCTATCTCGACCGATCAATAGGCGCTTTCTACGGTGCTGCACAGTAGATGGTGCGCATAGCGAAGACGTCATTGACTCAGTTCATTGCAATGGCACTCATCGCTATCCGTGGAAAGTTCACAGATTTGAGATCACGGCTTTTAGATCGCCATTGAGGCTTTGAGTTTTTTCTGGTTGAAGCAAAAAAAGAGTAAGATGTTCTAAGACCTTCATCGATTTGTGTTTTGCAATTGTTGGTGACAGTGTGGTGGAAATGGTGACATGGTGTTAGGCGTCGGTGGTGTGGGTATTAGTTCGTTTGAGATGGTGGACATAATATAGAGACGTTGTCATTGCTCATGAGAGAAAATTTGGTGTTGTGGTGGTGGTGGCGACGACGACGATGGCGAATACAGATTCAAATTCTATTGTAGTAGGTGGTGTTTGTGGTGTGTTTTATTGTGATTGGTGGTGTTTTGTGGTGGTTGTGTAATGATTTTGAATCGTAGCAGCACTGTTAATTGTATTGGTGGTGGCTATTGCTGCCTCAAAGCCGTGTTGCGCTGCTGAGTGAAGTAGTGCATTGTTTGCATGCAGTGAAGCAACGTTGTTGCGCCCGCTTCTCCAACAGCTTCACTCCACAAAGTGGTGCACTGTGGTGGTGGTGGCCACCGTTTGTGGGTGACCTCATTTACCTATCTAGTGACTTTATCCTACGCTGTTGAGTGAAGTAGTGGATTGTCTACACGCAGTGGAGCGACGTCGTTGCTGCCCGCTTCTTCGAGGGCATCACTCCACAAAGTGGTGCGTTGTGGTGGCGGCGGCCAGCGTTTGTGGGTGACCTCATCTACCTCTATAGTGACTTTATCCTGTAGCGATCTACAGTGCACTGTGGTGGTGATGGCTATGCATTTATGTTGGGTTGGGTTGCATCTATGGTGGTGGGATAAGTTTGTGTTATGTTGTTGGGTTGTGTTGATTGTGGTTGTGGCGGTGATGGGGCGGTGGCGTTAACGATGGTCACAAGGTGGTTTTGAGGTGGTTTGGTAGTGGTGGTGGTGGTCGTCACATGTGCTCACAACACTCACAACCTGGTGCTAGGTGTTTGGTGATGCAGCGATCTCATCGCGATCGGTGAGT